AACAAAACATATTTACAGACCCATTAATTCAAAGTTATGTAGTTTTCATGTCTGAGCTTATAGATAGGCTACTTTTTTGCCTTATAAACAAAACACATTTTGTAAAACACATACTTTTTATACATGCCAAGGGGCAATTGTAACACGTTGTTACATTTGCTCCCGGGGAGACGGCCATAATTTGGGGGCTGTTTTTGTATCTTAGCATTAGTATTCGTCAATGAAACTTTTACCAAATACAGGCCTAAAAACCTATTTTTTTATGATATACAAATGACAGTGATAGCTCAAGTACATATTTGTCCAGAAAAAAAACATTAGGTAATTCGAGATTTTACTTAATGCTAAAAAAACGATGTTTTGGCTGTCAAATGTTCCTCGATGCGTAAACCTGCCTACCCTCAGGACAGCATGTGGGGCAATGAAATGTGCATGCGCTGTGAAGAGCGTCTACATATAGCGCGTTTCTACTAGGAATGAGGGCCTCTGTTACATTTGCCCCGTGTTACAATTGTCCCCGGTCTCCCCTACCAACTAACGGTGACATCAATTCGTGCTGTGTGCTTCGGGTGGCACACTTCCAATGGTATGTGCGGGTGTTGATCTGACAGCTATGAAAGTTATCGGATGAAGTTTTTTCTCTGTTGATCACTAATTATTAATTGTCTGTAGGATTTCCCAGTGTTTGAGATGGCCACCACGAGCATTAAATTCAACTAAAGTAAAGAAAAACTAATCGTAAATTCATCGTAAGCAGTTCAGTTAAAAACGTGATACATCTTTTCAGTCGCGCACACTTGATAGAAACCACGATTTTTTTCTCAAATGTAAGAATTAAAAAAATTGAATCAATTTACATTTAAGCGTCGAGTTACGCGTGCTTGGCTGTTTTATTTAATGTGAGCGTGCGTGCGACGATATCTAATAATAACGAATTTCTACCAGGGACCGTATGCACACTTTGCTACGATGTCGAAGACCTGTTATGTAGAACACGAAACACTGTATAGCGCCATCTACGCTATTAGTATGCCATGATATTATTAAATATACCCTATGAGTTGTAGAGAGCGAGAGAAGAACAGAAAGAGGGGCAGAGAGAGAGAGAGAAAGAGAGAGAGAGAGAGAGAGAGAGAGAGAGAGAAAGAGAGAGAG